TCTTAAGCAGGATTGGTGGGGAGTGCTTGGCCTGCATGATGCCACTGACTTAGACCCAGTAGGCCAACCCAACACAGGTCCCAGCGCCTAGAGGTGCACCCTAGCGGTGAAGCCTTCAGTAGGTTGACCTGGAGGGGCAGGCCCTGCAGAGGCTGCCCAGGTCTGTGTCTCCCTAGTATACTGCAGTGTGTGGGAACACCTCGCCGGTGCAATTCAAACAAACTATAACTGAAAAAGAGAAAAAAAATTGGGCCTCCTACATTCGCTTATATGGAAGGAACAAAAAGTATGGGAAGAGGAAGGAACAAGAAAGGGTCCTCAGTCCCCAATCCTGAGAACACTGATCCAGGAAAGGGAAATGCAAAGGAAGACAGAAAACATGCAATATCAGACACGGCACCAATAGACATAAAGCAATATCTCCAGAGCCTCAAAGATGAGTTTAAAAATGAAGTATTTAACGAAATAAAGCAAGAGATAAGTAGAATAGTTAGAGAAATGCTAAGCACTGCCCAAGAAAAAACAGATGGTGGAATGGAAGAACAGAAAAAAAGGGGAGAATTGCTTGATGGAGAAAATAGAGAAAACAGAATACATGAAGCAGGTTCAAAGAGATTACCAGGAAACTAAAAACTCTATTGAAAGCTGCCATAACAGCTTGAAAGAAACTAAGGATAGATTATCTGAATTGGAGGGCAGACTTGTAATATGGGAGCATGAAATGAAAAACTTCTTAAAAATAACAAGAAAACAAACAACAATAATACAAAGACTAGAAGATGATAAGAGGATCTATAACTTAAGAATTAAGAACATAAAAGAAGTAGGGACACAAACAAGTGGACTACAAAAGCTACTCACAGAAATAATACAGGAGAATTTTCCTAATTTAGCAAAAGGTAAAGATACTCAGATGTATGAGGCATACAGGACCCCAGCCACCTACAACCCAAACAGAGCTTCACCCAGGCATATAATAATGAAAATTTCAGAAATCCAATATAAGAACAGAATATTAAAAGCTGTCAGAGACAAGAAAAAGATCACTTACAAGCAAACACCCATCAGAATTACAGCAGACTTCTCGGCACAAACCATCAAATCACGAAGAGTGTGGGGGGAAATAATTCAAGCTTTGAAAGATAATAACCTCCAGCCAAGATTGATATATCCTGCACAACTGTCCCTAGAAATTGACAGAAAAACAAGGTGTTTCCAGGATAAAGAGGAACTAAGGGAATTTGCATCCACCAATTCAACTCTACAGAGAATACTGCAGGATATTCTAAAAAAGGAAAATACCATGGTCCCAGAAACAGTGGCAGAGAGGCCACAGTGAATGGAGCAGAAAGCGAAATGAAGAAGACAAACTGACAACAAATAACAGAAAAAGAGCTCAACAGAAATGAGGCAGAGAAGATTGGATGGTAGGAACAGCTATTTTGGAGAAGACAAGACATCATAATAGCTAGTGCTAGTTTAATATCATCTTGCTTTGAAGTCCCATAAGCTTTTATTCTTCTGTCTCCATCGGTCTTAACAGGTTGTATCTTATTGAATTTTATTATATGAGATAATATAAGCAAAAACTTTTATAGACAAGGAGATTATACAGAAACCGTTGTTCATTTTCTGGTAGTTGGTTCTAAATACCCTGTAATACTGTCATTCTCTTGAATCGTTTTACATTGTCTTGATGTTTGGTGCTACAGTATATGAAGTTATACTCAAAGATTTCAAGGAAAGAGACATCATGGTAACTACTTTTATGTCGGGATGTCTTGTGGTGAAACACTATTTTACTTAAATGGTTATGCTTTACCTGCACTGTTTTGTTGTTATGCCCTCTTGTATCTGTCCTTTTTTTAATTACTTTTTAATTTTTTTCTTTTTAATTAAGGTAAAAATAAAAAAGCAGGATATATTATTATAGTAACCCACTTTGATTTCCTATTAACTTGATTTGAAATCCTGTATAGCCCTCACCATCTTGCTTTGACTGATTTTCCTCTATTCTGCTTTGCCTGATAGTACCAAGTTCGAAAGTATAGGCAACAACTGTGAAGACAATAAGAGTCATTATGACACCCATTCCGGTTGACTGATATAGGCAATTCTTTTTAAGATAGCAAGAGTCAGTACGGTAAACATTGTTGATCACCTGGTATTTTGTTTTTACATTATCTATTATGTTCATCCTTTTGATTTGACTGACTGTGTTCTATTATGTCACATTTGGTTTTACTCTCTTCAAAAAAATAAAAGTAATAAGAACTTTGCGAGTAATAAAACCCAAAATGTGTAATTGTCATTATACAAATAGAGGAAAAGAAAGTTCTCTAAAGAATATAACTGCATATATATTTAAGTGTATAAGATAGATAACCATATTACTGAGTTTTGTTGAATCATTGAACAAAACTGTTTCCAGTCTCACTGTTTGAAAGTCCACTTTATATGCTTTAATTTTGTAACTTGAACAACTATTTCTAAGATAACCATATGTAATCTATTAACTAGTGTTTCCTATTGTTTATTTTTTTTCAGAAATTCTGTATAACTTGTACCCTATTTCTGTTTTTTTTTTCTCCTAAAGAAAAGAAAAAAAAATACTAGGGATTGAACCCAGGGTCTTCAAACTGAGCTACATCCCCCAGCCCTTATTTTTCTTTTTGTATACAGGGTCTTCCTAAATCACTAAGTTACACAGTCTGGCACTGGAATTTATGATTCTCCTGCCTCATCAACCTTACAGGTGCCACCACACCTGGAAGAGTAAGTTCTTGATTCTCACCATGGAAAAACAGTTCCAGGATGAGTCATTGTGTGGCAAAGGCAGATTTATAAGGCAAAGTTAGAAAGTAAGGGAGACCTGGCACACAGGAGTCCAAGGCAGGAGAATTGCTGTGAGTTCAAGACCACCCTAAACTACATAGTGAAACCCTGTCTCAGAGAGAGAGAGACAGAGAGAGAGAGAGAGAGAGACAGAGACAGAGAGAGAGAGACAGAGACAGAGACAGAGACAGAGAGAGTGAGAGAGAGAGAGAGAGAGAGAGAGAGAGAGAGAGAGAGAGAGATAGGGGACTTCAGCTTTAGTTACCTGAAAGGTACAGTAATGAGAAGATTCAGACTGGCCTACACACAGGAAGCTTTTTGGAATTAACTGAGGTAGGCCAGGGTCTAACTGATTGTTATCTTGGTTCTGGTTTTGTAGTTCCAAAGCAATTCTTTGGGCTCGAGGCACAATTTGGTTCTCAAGAGGCGATTTTTTTGCTTGGAATGGGGGCTATTTCAGTTCCTGAAGTAGGATAATTGTTCCTGCTTGGGGGAGGTGAGCTCTTCATGGGTTAGTTCACAGGACTCTCCTTTTCCGGGGCCCCAAGGTGATTGCAGGTTTGGAGACTTTTGGCATAACTTTAGAGTGCATCTGGACACTGTAAAAAGCTCACAATTGGCTCTTCTTGTAAATTCTGAAAATTAGTTACTCTTGGCATTTCAGTCTTCGGGAGATACTAGGTAGGTTTGGGGCTAATAAGTCTTGTAATACAAACTCTCCTTAGGTGATTAAAATGCCTACATACAGAGCTCAGCTGGGACCTGACTGAGAGTTTTACAACAAAAGATGAAGGCAGAGATGCTGAACCTTGTCTTGCTTTTAGTTACGCACTGGCCCTTTGGGTCCCCCATCAAGGTGTCTGTTATAACACGTGACTGATGAACATTGAAATGTGGTCAGTCCACACTGAAGACTGTAAGTGTAAAACAGAAACGTCAAAGACTTGGTTACAAAACACGGATTAGTAGGAGGCAATAGGCTTGATTTGTTCTTGCATATGTGAGACTGTGTTCAGTAGGTCTTCTGGCAAACAGTGAAATAATCTTTATTTTCTCTTTAGAAATAGGGAATTGCCTTCACACTAAACTAGTGGGAAACAGAATAGGAGGCAGGGAAGAAGGGAGAGAGAGATCAAGAGAGGATCTTCACATAATAATGTGCCTGAAAATCTAGAAGCTTGAGTTACTGGATTTCCTCAAATTATCAGACTTTGGAAATTGCCTTTCGGAAAGATGAGAAGTGGGGGAGTTGATAGTAGAAAGTGGAAGATCTTTTTGTACGTTCAGTGATACTGGCAGATTTGTTGCTCACTTCCTGTGAGCACAGTTTCAGTAACGTGGGCCTTTGCCAGCAGTGGTGCTATTATCTTTTCTTTCACTCACACCTGACCTGTTTTAGAATCTTCAGGTCATTTAGAGTGCATCTGGACACTGTAAAAAGCTCACAATTGGGTCTATTAAGTCTTCCTGACAATATAGTTTTCATTTTCTTCTCTGTTTCCTGCAATCTTACTGGGTTTATAGTTACATTCAGAGCATTTAGACTATAATGGTTACTTCGAAAGGGTGATCCTACATTCCTTCAACTGGGTAACGTAACTCCTGAGTTTGGAGATGTGACTTTTTAGTCTTCTTTTGAATGCTCTGGAGAAGACTCTGAATTCATATTTATTAAACGTTTTCCCAGATCAACATTTGTTAACTGTGGAAGAACAAACACTTAAAAATATGCTACAAGTTTTTACTTCAGCATTCTTTAAATTCTTTTAATTAGCTAACAATTTCAAATAAGTCATACCCATTTTGATTGTCTCAACAAGATTGTTCAGTCCTTCCTATAGCAGAATATAAACCTTTCAATATACCTAGCTAGAATTGTCAAAAGAAGGGGCAGTCTCTAGTGACTTCTAGTAATGAGCTATCAAATTTGATCTGCAGTTAAGGAACATCCTTATAAGCGGTCCAGTGATAAATGTATCAAATTTCACAAACATCTGAACAGGGAGTGAAGTAATCATTTGACAATGTAGCTGCTTATCCATCAACTAAGTTAGCTGACTAAGCTCCCGAGTTCACCGCAGCCTCAGACGCTAGGCGGGGTTCACATCATTAAGCAGCCAATTGGGACGTCCGCTGCGGTGCATCCTGGGAGTCGTAGTTTCCGGCTCCTCCTGCAGACTCCAAGCTCTACCAAGCACAGGAGGACGGTTGCTTGGTGTTCTTACCAAGCGGCAAGTATGGCGGTGGCGCGCGCCGATTCGGCTTTGCCTCCCGGAGAAGGTAAGGCAGTACCCACCCTTGAGTACCAAGGTTTATGCTACGGAACCAAATTAAATAGTTGCCTGGCGGAGCAAAGAAGCCTAGACTTGGAAGGGCAGTTCTGGACCAGTTCTTTTGATGCGGAGCTGTGGGCATCGTAGAAGCGCACTTCCTTCCGGGAGTTGTAGTCTCCGCGCGCTGTCCAGCTCCGCAGTGGTACCGAGGCCGCTGGCCTGAGGACTTCAACTCCCAGAAGCCCTCGCGACGCCCTGCGCCCCTCAGTCCCGCGCTCACTAGCCGGTCCGGGCGGTTGGTTTTGGTGACCTTTTTGGACGTTTGCTTTGAGGAATGACCAGGGGAGATCGGCAGCCTATCCCGTGCTCTTCAGGTGTCCCCCTTCCACTTCAGTTCCTAGAACATTCAGGAAACATTATCACAGACTCCACTCCATTGACCCAACTCTTCCTTGCAGTGGCTAAGTGGCCGTGATAAAATTCAACCCGGGATGAACTAGAGCCCACGGGTTTCTTCCTGGTCCCGCAAATATGTTTGACCGTGCGTAGCTTAGCAAGAGGCGTGGGTGCTTTTGTGGCCCGGAGACATCTCTACGGGGCGCTGGACGGGACCTCCTTTTGTTTTGGTTACGGCTCCGAGGCTCGGTAGCTGCCATCTGGACAGGGGACAGGGCAGGAGTCGAGGCTGCCCTCCCCCTGAATCAGAGGCTCCTTACGTAGGAGCCTTTAATTCTTGAGAGGAGTGGGTCGGTAGTTACATGAGATCTGTCGACCTTTTGTACGTGTTAGAAAGCAGGGTGCACTTTTCTGGGTTACCACACAGTTTCTTCAGATTTTAGAGGCGCTCCCGACTCCTCACATGCTAAGTGCTATTAAAAAATGGAAAAACGTTGAAAACCACCCGGAGAGCCATCCTGCTTAAGTACTTCACGCAGCAGTTCTGATCGGTGTATAAATTTGAAATTGGCAGGGCTTCTGGCCCTGCCCCTTTCTGATAACTGCTTTTCTTAAACCCCACCTTTCTAACCTACCCAGGCAATTTAACAACGTTAACATTTAGAGAACCACTTTTTGTGATCCAAATGATGACGTTTTGAGTATTTTTTCCTCGTTTTACATTAGCTTATTTTTCTGTTTAGAACATGTAGAGTATAAGGCAAGTATTATCATCATCCCGGTTGTACAAAATAGAAGACTGAGTTCAAAAGAGAACAGTAACTTGACCAAGAATCTGCAGTGATTAAATATTAGTACTGGGATTGAACGGCTATGAATGTTGTCCTGAAGAACTTTGTAAGTTCTTGTGTGCCAAGATTCAGGTTAAGTGCTGAAGTGTTTTATAATTTATATAGAGATTTCATTAGTATAATTCCATTTTTATGCTTGGCTTTTATATTTGTGTTTTCTAACATCATCTTGTCTTGTCAAGGATCAGTGGTCAATTGGTCAGGGCAAGGACTACAGAAATTAGGTCCAAACTTACCATGTGAAGCTGATATTCACACCTTGATTCTGGATAAAAATCAGATTATTAAACTGGAAAATCTGGAAAAATGCAAACAATTAATACAGGTGAGTGTTGCTATCTAGGGAATAGTTACATAGGCTTAGTGCATTATTAAAGCAATAAAGTGTCCTGATAAAAAGTAACTGTTTGACCGGGAAAGCAGTAAATGTTGCCTTAAACTTCTGGATGACAATTTCTCTTGAAGATAAACACAGGTGTTGCATTTGGAGTAGACTAGAAAAAGAAGGATTGTTAAAAGAGAGAAGACATTTAATGCTGAAAAGATATTGTGCTGCTAACTTTTTACCTCATGTTAGTAGTAAAGAGTTCATTTATTTAAGAAATGTATATTAGTTCTTTTTTATATGCCTGGCATCAGTCTAAGATTTTGACTGAGACATTACAAGGACTCCATTTTTGTGGTGCTTGTATTTTCTCTTATTGCTATGTTAAAAGGGATTTTAGCACCTGGTGGCTGGAGGTCTGATCAGTCAGCTCTGTTGCTTAGAACAACAAAAAACTAATAGTTATACTATGGATGAATTTAAGTAATAAATTGAAGGGTAAAAATTGTTTGCTTGTTTAAAAATGTTTGGCTTTTTAAATTCTTGTATCCATCATAATGTGAAAATAGTACATTGTTCCTAGGAATATATGTTTCCTTTTCAGTTGTCAGTGGCCAATAATCGGCTGGTGCGGATGATGGGTGTGGCCAAACTTACCCAGCTCCGTGTATTAAATTTGCCTCATAATAGCATTGGCTATGTGGAAGGGTTAAAGGAATTAGTACATTTGGAATGGCTGAATTTGGCAGGAAATAATCTTAAGGTAAGTTTTTTTTTTTTTTTAATTGAAAAAGTTACAAAGTTTTTTTCAGCTAAAAAGAAATTCAAGCAGTATAGAAATAACAGAGTTACTGGACATGGTGGAGCACAGCTGTAATTCCAGGACTCAGAAGGCTGAGGCAGGAGGATTGCTGTGAGTTCGAGGACAGCCTGAACTGCATTGAGAACCCCTGGCTCAGAAAGACCAAAAAAAAAGAATAAATAAATAAAATAAGTAGAATTAAAAAATGGAAGTATCCATGTCCACTACCCAGAGATAATCTATAAATTTTTAAAATCCCTTTTTGAAACTAATATAGTACTGTATTCTTTTAAACATGAACAAAGAATCTGTATTATACTTAGGAAAAAAGTAGGGGGCTGGGGATTTAGCTCAGTGGCATAAGTGCCTGCCTTGCAAGCATGTGGTTGTGAGTTTGATCCCTGGTACAGGTAAAAAAAGAAAAGTAGGTCAAACAATAAAATGGTGAGGAGAAAAACAGTATCTTTCTGAATTAAAGTTTAAGTAAATATTTAATAGCATGATGGAGAAGCAGGTCCGAATCCTAGTCCTGCTTTCATAACTTAGTAACTAGATTATTGTGGGTAAATTAATAAGTTATCTCTGTGTCTGAGTTTTTGATATGAATGAGTACACTAGATTAAATGATAGTCATAGCTGCTTTTTATTGAACAATTAATTTATGCTAGGTACCCTTTTAAGCACCTAGTCTATATTATATAAACTCATTTTCTGACGTGACAGTCTAGGTGGTAGGTACACCAAAACGTATTTTGCCCATTATATATACAGGAGGAAACTGAGGCACAGAGAAGTTAAGTAATTTGCCCAAAGTCACACATCTAGGAAGTTGTGGAGTCAGGATTTAGATCCCAGCTCTTTGGCTTCATTCTCAACTTGTAAACTGTCTTCTGTCCCAGCTGCCGTGTCACTAAAGTTCTTTGGGCTGTCAGCATCTGGGAAGGTATGAACTGTTTGGTAGCCCTGTACTCTTAGAAGGATGATGGTTGTGGAGGTTTAAGACACAGTAGTTTACTAGCATCGCGTTCCCTTTCTCTTGTTCAGCTCTGCTTCTAGGTATAAAAAGAGGAGGCAGGAGACCTTTTAAGTAAAAAACGAGAGAAGAATTTTATTTTTTATTTTATTTATAATTTTCTTGTGGCAGGCAATGGAACAAATCAACAGCTGCACAGCTCTACAGCACCTGGATTTATCGGATAATAGCATACACCAGATAGGTGATCTATCTAAATTGATATCCTTGAAGGTAAGCATGTTTTCTGTCATTTATGAAATTTTATTTCAAGATACTAAGAGAGTCATCTAATTGACCTAAAATCTACCTACTGTGTTTGAAGAACAGATTGTTTTATATATAAGAATTCTCTAGGAATTAAGTGTGGGATTTTTTGTTATATAAAAATTCTCTGTGAGTAGCAGAAATTAAGTATAGAACTTCTTGTTATTAGTCTGTCTGTCTTTCCTTCTTTCTTAAATAAACTGAGTCTTGGTATGTTGCTGATCTTGAACTCTTGGGCTCAAATGATCATCATGTGTCAGCCTCCTGAATGCTGGAATTACAAGCATGTGCCATCCATCATGCCTGGCTTTTTGTTTCTATAACTGATCTGTTTTTTGTAAAACTGGTCATTATAGTTAAGGTCAATTCTTATTTACCACCTTCTAAATTTGATGGAATTCCTTTGGCTTTGATTGTGTAGTCCATAACATATTTGAGTATAACCACTCTTGATGTTGAGGGTTTTTTTTGTTTGTTGGTTGGGTTTTTTTTTTTTTTTTAAATGAGTGTCACACTCCTGAGCTTAGGTGATCTTCCCTCTTCAGCCTCTCAAATAGCAGGGAATGCAGTGTTCCTGGAATTAGAGTCACATGCCACCATGTCTAAATTTTTTTTTTTTTGAGGGGTGGGAAACACTTTTTGATTTGTAGAATATTATTTAAAAACTTAATTTCATTTTAATTTAGAAAGGGAACATAAAACACAATCTTTTTATGAAGGAGATGTGTCTTGCAAGGAAATAATAAAATCATGGCTTTAAAAACTTGTAGGGCTTTTTCTGTTATTTTGCTTCATCGAGTATGATCAGCATGAGGTGGACTCAAAACCTTAGAACAGTATTTTAGCTTTGTTTTCACTACATCATGAACAGAAATCTTTTTAGTAACAATTATTCTGAATAATCTAATATAGCCAGATGCAGTCCTGATAGATGCTGAGAGAACTGAAATGAACTAAAGATTGAACTGTTTTTTTTTTTTTTCTTGGAATAGAGACATGATTATCTGATCACAATCCTGGGTGTTCAGTCTTGTTTATTCATGAGTTTCTTGTTTCTGACTTAATATGAGTCAGCTTCATCTACAAGTAGAATATTCTACTTTTCTAAGTTTTTAGTTACCAAAAGAATATACTTGTAATATATGAGTTATAGCTTATCTCTTACCTTTTTTTGGAAAATTGGCTTTATATATGATTGTTTTAATGACTTCTGTTTCACTTTTTATGATCCTCTATTTTGGTGGGTATGTTTGTATGTATTTTGGGGCAAGGTCTCGTTTTATAGTTTAGGCAGCCTTGACCTCACTATTTAGAACAGGGTGGACATGTTTTCACTGCGTAGTTCACACTGGCTTCAAACTCACAGTGATCCTCTTACTTTAATTTCCCAAATGCTGGGATTATAGGTGTGTGCCACCATGCGTGGGTGTTTTGGTTTAAAAGGAAATGCACACAGTGTGTTGGAAATAGCTCTGAGTGTAGTAACTTATATCTTGCAGCATGCTAGGTGCTATATCAAGCATATGTTCACTCTTTTGTCTTTTGGAGACAGGGTTTCACTATGCAGTTTCAGACTGGCCTTGAACTCACTTTGTAGTCCAGACTGGCCTCAAATTCGCAGTGATCCTCCTGCCTCAGCCTCCTCAGGGCTGGGACTACAGGTGTGCACCACCAGGCCATTTCTCTTGACAAATCTTTAATTTTTTGAGTTGAAGATGTTGATGTGAAAAGAGAAAGTTAACAAGTAAACCAAATAGGGTCTTTCTAAGTATTAATAATCTTTGATTTGTATATAATGAGAAGGATAACAATAGATTCCTTTATTCCTATGTATAACATTTTGATGTCAAAATAGATCAATTTATTTGTAATCTATTCATTTGTAATTCATACTGTTTTTACTTTCAAGACCCTGCTTTTACATGGAAACATCATTACTTCTCTTAGAGTGGTACCTGCTTATCTACCTAGAAGTCTTGCTATTCTTTCTTTGGCAGAAAACGAAATTCGGGACTTAAATGAGGTAAAACTCTATATGACATTTATGGGTTCTACAAGCTAGAAAATCCAGGGGAGACATAGCAGAGGTTTGTGGGTTCACTTTTAGACCCTGAACATGTTGGAAGAAAATGCTATCAAGATAAAATAGCTAGCTGTAGGCGATCATTATTTTTCTATTTTTTCTTAGTATCAGTGGTTCACATGTCATTACAGCCCGTTTTCATTTGTAATGCTGCAGTTATCATTCTGGAAGGTGTCGTTTGGTAGAGGGACATCTACATTACTGGGGTTAATAAGATACCCTGTCTGCCTTTCCCTGGCTGTTTTTGTGTTTTCAAAATGGGGTTCTCTCTGCTAGGAAGTAGACCTTGTACTTTCTAAGGGACTTTTTGTAGCAAGGACAAATAACCTCATTGTTGGAATTTTGGAAGTCAGTGGCTAATAGAAGAGTATTACTTGTTGCTTTTCAGAACAAGAGGGAAATTGATGCATTCTCAGTGCTGCCAAAGATGTGTAGTCATCGGAAGCCCTGTGCTTGACACTGAATAGTCTATTTTGCTCAACATAGACATCCTTTGTTCCAGGTCTCTTTTTTGGCATCCTTAACTGAATTGGAGCAGTTATCAATCATGAACAATCCTTGTGTGATGGCGACCCCATCCATCCCAGGGTTCGACTATCGGCCATATATCGTCAGCTGGTGCTTAAATCTCAGAGTCCTAGACGGATATGTTATTTCTCAGAAGGAAAGGTGAACATGACCTCTTTAATATATTAATCATGAAAATTACTGAAAAGGCCATTTCTAATTCACTGTAGATTAACTTGAATGTTACTTAAAATACATACTTGGAAATTAAAGAGCATTAGTGCAGTGTATGATAGCCTACATACTAATCATTTAGAATTGTCTCTTCTTTTTAAAAATGGACAAAAAATAGCTGTAGAGATTAGGACTAGTAAGTGTACTTTAATCCTTAATTTAGAATAGTTGGATTTTGAAAAGTTCGTTACTCATTTGTTTTGAACATGGAATACTTTTACATAGAAACCATCTTATGGATATTGTGTAGGACTGTGGATTAACCCCATACAAGTGTATAGCATCATATATGTATGGGAAATAAAAGTTTCTTAGAACCTTTTATAATAATGAGTCTGGGAAAATGTAAGCCTACTGATCAGAACCTATGCAAATAGAAGCTTCCCCATTTCTCAGTTTCTCTGGTCTAAAGCTGGCACACCCATAGGGTCAGGTCTTTGGGTCACTGGCATGTGATCAGTAGAATCAGAACTGTAGGGAAGATAAGGAGCTAGGATGGGAATGTGACAAAGTGGAGATATGTGTGATAATGAGTTTATCCTCTTTACTGTGCCTCATGTCACTTTCTACTCTGGGTGCATATAATACATGCATTCATTGATTCAACGTGTATATTATCTGTAATTTTTTAAACTTATTATAACTTTAACAATATTTTCTTCATTTACTTTATTCTTTTGATGGTGGGGATTAAGGTTAGAGCCTAGTGCATGTTAGGTAAGCACTCTTCCAATGAGCTATATCCTCAGCTCTTTACATTGTATTCTGAGCTGGTATCTTGCTCAATTGCCTATGCTGGCCTGGAAGTTTCTGTCCTCCTGGCCTGGCCTCCCAAGTAGTGAGGATTATAGGTATATGCCACCAGGCCTGACTTCCGCCTTTTAATCTCAGCACTTGGAGAGGCTGAAGCAAGAATATTACAAATTCAAGCCCAGCCTGGGCAATTTAGCAGGAATTTATCTCAAAATTAAAAAAGGAGTCAAGGGCTTCTTGATGGTAAAGAGTGATAGACTGTAGCATTATCTGTTTCCTTCTCCTGCAGTTCCATGTAATTGCTGAGTAGAGCAGAAAGCAGGAGGAATAGCGACTGGGAGCTAGATAGGAGTGGTGCTCATGTACAGTGAGGTACATATGTCTGGTCTGCTTTGCCCACAAAAAATGAGTAGCTTCTCCTTTATCCTGCAAAAGGTTGTTCTGAGTAGAAGTCTTATTTTGTTTTAAACTGACTAGTCTTAAAAATAGAATTGGGTATACTTAAATTATCTTCTCTGATCTCTTTTCTTTTAAATTCATGACCTTGCGCTTGCCAGGCAGGCGTTTATGTTGCTGAGCTAAATCCCTGGCTTCTCTGATCTTTCTATAAGAGAGAGAAAATTAGAATTTTCCATACTACTGACAGCATTTTCATATTGACAGACAATATGATGATAACCTAACTTCAATTTGGCCAACCTGCGTGCCCAACCTTGTTTCATTATATACCTTCATTGCCTCTTATCTTGTATTATTTTGAAGCAAATCTCAGATTACATGTCATCTGTATTTCCTTATATATCTCTAAAAGGGAAGTGTTCTCAGACATAACCACAAGCTATTATATCTCAGAAAAATTAAGAATACTGTAATGCCTTAAAAACATTAGATATTTGGTCAAAACTTACAATTCTAATAGATTTTATACATGGATGCATGGGGATTATGCATGTCAGGTTAGGCAAGCATTATTATCTCAGAGTTATATCCTCAATTATTTTTTTCTTTTTGGTTTTTTGAAACAGGGTTTCACTATGCAATTCAGGCTGCCTTGAACTCACTGTGTAGCCCAGGCTGGCCTGGGACTCACAGTGATCCTCCTGCCTCAGTTGCCTGAGTGCTACAATTATAGGTGTGTGCCACCATGCACCATCCTCAGTTCTTAAATGCATTTTTTGTTTGTTTTTGACACATGGTCTCGCTGTACAGTCCAGGCTGATCTTAAATTTGAGATCCTTTCCTGCTTCAGCCTTCTAAGTGCTGCAGCTACTTATGTGCACCATTATGTCCAGTTTTTAAATGATTTTTTTTATTAAAAAAAATATTGGGGCTGGGGATTTACCTCAGCGGCATAAGCACCTGCCTTGCAAGCAGGCAGTCGTAAATTCAATTCCCGGCACCGATAAAAAGGAAAAAAAAAAGACAAAAAAAAAATATTTCTTTGTGGTACTGGATATTGAGCAGGAGTCTTTATCTTACTGAGCCACAACCCCAGTGTCTCAGTTACTTTTCTCTTGTTGCCGGGACAAAATATCCAACACCCAAAAAAGGAAGGAAAGGTTTATTTAGTTACTGTTTGTGGAAGTTTCAGTCCATAATCAATGGGCTCCAAGACAGAGGAGCATGGCACTGGGGCAACACTTTAAGGCAGTAGCCAGCAAAAGCAGCCAGAACCAAAAAACGGGGAGAGCAAGTTGCTTCTTCTCCCTTATATTGTGTGCAGGCCATCCCTACCCCCCAGGGCTGGTGTAGCACCCACAAAATCTCTTTGCCCTACTCTTGCATAGGCTGAGGATATTTACAGTTAGAACCCTGACTCCTGGCTGAGTGTCTTGGTTAAACTTAAAAACTTCTCAAATTGATACCCAATCTTTTTAAAAATCTTTTTATGTTGAGAAAAAGCCTTGCTAAATTACCCAGGCTGGGCTTGAACTTGTAATTGTCTTGCTTCAGCTTCCCAAAATGCCTGGATTATAAACAAGTACCATCATGTGCATTTTTTTCATTTTTAGTGCATTTTTTTCCAGTGCATTCTTAAAATAAGGTTCAAAAAAGGCCATACATTGCAGTTGGTTGATATCTCTTTTACATTTCTTATTTCTTTCTCTCTTTTTTTAAGTGAGTTAAGACATTAATTTATTACTGTCACATGCTTCATAGATTGCCTGTGCTGCTTTGAGATCTTAAGTGCTTACCCTCATAACACAAAGGAGGCTAGAGTCCTCTAATGGCTTGGTTTGTCTCGATGTCTAAGATGACTCCCTTAGGTCTCTGAATCTATCAGTTACTCATCTCTTTTATCACCTTTGTTTGCCTTTTTTCTTTTTAAATTCTTATTATTTACCAGTTTTCAAAAATGAGTTGGTGGTTCACTAGCATCCTATGTGACCAATTAACTTTTTTTTATGAGGTATTGATTTTACATGAAATTAGAGTGGTACAGTCTGGTTGCATCCAGAATCATAGGAAGAATTAAGATCATGAGCTGAGGTACTACTCTAGTGTATTTAGGTACTGAAGCTTGTCAAAATGAATGGAGAGAATACTCATTGCTTCTTTCAAAATAGTTTAAAAAATTTCAAATCACTAGTACAACTTTATGGAGGTGCCCTTAAGTATGAAAAGAGGTTTAGGAGTGAAAGGAGGTTTAGGAAGTTTAGAGTGAAAGAAGTGAGTCAGAAGAGTGGATTTTGATAGAGACTTGGGTGAGTTGTATTTATGGAAAACATCTAATGGTTTTAATAAGGTAAATTAAGAAAGAGTGTCACTATTGCTTAACAGAGTCTTTTGGCTGCCCTGTTACCAGCCCCTCTTCTTTATTTTCCTGAATTCCAGTTTGAAAGCTGAGTGGCTCTATAGTCAAGGCAAGGGGAGAGCATATCGACCTGGCCAACACATCCAGCTTGTCCAGTATCTGACCACAGTTTGTCCTCTGACTTCTATACTGGGTCTTCAAACTGCAGAAGATGCCAAACTAGAGAAGATTCTGAGCAAACAGAGGTAAGCCCATTTGTTTGTAGCTTCACAAGTGAAAGTAACACCATCAGTTAAGAAATCTTAATTGATAGGTTGGAGGCCAGTGGTTTGACCCAAATTTCTGGGCATTTAGGCCTCTTGTCACTGTAGCCGTCCTGCAGGAAGTTGAGCCACACAGTGCAGTTTGGTGCACAGCGGCTGGATTGGTAATCATTTTTTGAGCAGGGAGAGCTAAGCAATGTATCATGAAGAAATGAGATTTTAAAATTGTACATATTTATTAGGGGTTGGGGACACAGACCAGTGATAAACTGCTTGTCTCCAGTGCCCTGGGTATGATCCTAAGCATCTCAAAAAATATATTTGGCTTTGTAATATAGTTGTTTCCTATAGGTTTTTAAATACTGAAGCATTTAATAGTCATTTCTTTTCTCTGAGATCCTGTCTTTAAATATTGGTGCATATGTATAACTGGGCATATGAGGGTATATGTCTGTACAATTAAAAGTAAATTTTACTTTTTTTTACCCAGTGCTTTCAAATGAGACTATAATTTGCCAGAAATTAAAGATACCCACTTTGTAAAGTTGTTAACTTCTACCTTGTTGACATTGTTACCTAGGAAACAAAAGAACTGGTTTTTTGTTGTCGTCATTGGTTTGTTTCTTTTGTTCATTTTTGTTTTTGTTAGATGACATTGGATATTACTGATTTTTAGGTTTCATCAGAGGCAGTTGATGAACCAAAGCCAAAATGAAGAGTTGTCTTCTCTTATTCCTGTTGAAACAAGGGTTCCCCTTGTACCTGAGCATTCGAGCCCTGTTCAAGATTGCCTCATAGTCCAGGAAAGTGGTAAGAAGTTAACTCACCTTTAATCGCTTTTCAAGTCATTTGATTTGTTGAGTACCATAACAGAAAAAATTATATAGTCTTATAACTTTATTAGTATAATTTTAGTAATCCTTTGGCTGTGATACTTTATGTATGTATGCATACATTTGTTATATGTATATATCATATACATTGTAATTTTTTTTTTTTATCAGTACCGGGGATCGAACTCGTGACCGCCTACTTGCAAGGCAGATGTTTATGCCGCTGAGCTAAATCCCCAGCCCACATTGTAATTATTGTATTTCTAATTTTTAAAAAAATTGTTAAGAACTGCCAGGAGTGGTGGTTCATACCTGTAATCCCTGAACTTGGGAGTCTGAAGCAGAAGGAATACCACAGGTCTGAGGCCAGCATGGGCCACATAGTGAGTTCAAGGCCAGCCTGAAGAACATAGGGAGACCTGTCTCAAAAAAAAAAGAGCTGCTATATTTTACATGAACCAGAGGCTTTTATTACTGTAACAGTTTGTGTTCTTCAAAATGTTTGATGTTTTATATACATTGTAGGAAATCAGTAAAGGCATTTATTTTATTTTACTGTATTTCAGGAATTAGATTTCATTAAAAGGATGCAACTAAGAAAGCTCTTTATTTAATGAGTTGGGGCTGGGGATTTAGCTCAGCGGCGTAAGCGCCTGCCTTGCAAGCAGGCAGTCGTGAGTTCGATCCCTGGTACCGATAAAAAACAAAAAAAAAAGACTAAAAAAAAAAATATTTAATGAGTTAAACAATTCTCTGTTGATTCTTGTAGAACCTGTCGTCCAGATTAATTCTTGGGTTGGCATAAACAATAATGATGACCAGTTATATACTGCTAAGAATAACTTTCCAGCCTCTGCACACACTGCAAGATATTCTCGAAATGACCTGCACCTGGAAGACATACAGACAGATGAGGACAAGTTAAACTGTAGTCTCCTCTCTTCAGAATCTACTTTTATGCCAGTTGCATCAGGACTGTCTCCAGTATCACCTACAGTTGAACTGAGGCTTCAGGGCATTAACTTGGGCCTAGAAGATGATGGTGTTATGGATGAATCTATGAAAGGGCTGGAAAACCAGGACTTGGATAAAGAAAAGGAAAATGCTTTATGGGGAACAAATGAGAATTCTGGTGAGCTATTGAAAAGCAAGATCAGTACAGAGGTAGATGAGAAAGGTAAGCTATTACCTTGTCCTGAGCCAATGATAATTAGTGCTATCTCAAAGGATAACAACCACAGTCTCACATGTTTTCCTGAGTCAGCTGGACACCACGTCTCTCATACAGAGCCAGATAAAGTTTCTCTTCAGAAATTGAATGAAGCAGTGACCAAACTTCAGGCATGTTGGCGGGGCTTTTGCACTAGGAACTACAACCCTCAAGCTAAAGAAGTGCGTTATGAAATCCGGCTACGCAGAATGCAGGAGCACATTGTTTGCTTAACTGATGAAGTGAGGAGGTGGGTTAAAAATCCTGTTTTGTGCTGTTTTGTTGGTTTCCAGTGTAAATTTTTTTTCTTGGTGTTAAGGACCAAACCCAGGACCCTGTGCTTGCTAGGCAAGCCCTCTACCACTGGCGGCTAAGTCCTTGGGGATATCAGCTTCTTGAATTGTTTTAGAACAGTATGCTACTGTGTGCACAACTTTTCATATGATGTGCCCACTGTTGTTTTACCTTTTGTCTCCTACAGTGTACTGAATATCTTAACACATATATATGTCATATGCATCTGCATCCCCTGCACAATAATATATATATATATACACACACACATATACACACAATGTCTCGAAAAATGTTGACTGAATGTGAGGTCTATGGGCATTGTATAATTCTGTTCATAGAGAGGTACAGACGGTGTAGAAAAACTGGATAAATAAAAATGATTTAACGAAGTGTACATAGAATCCAGTAAGTCACATACAAAATAGAGAAAAATGCAAGGAATTCAAAGGGACTAAAATTCTGGGAATACCATAGGAATTTTTCCTTAATTCCATGGCTCACATGTTTTACTGACTGTCAAACCAGGAAAATTAGGATTTCGTTAGTATTGAAACTAGCAGTATTTATGAATGTTATTAGGTGGAAACAGAGAAAGCAAGAGCGATATAGGAGAATATATATTCAGTCCTATCAGGGCAGAATGTTTCAGAAGAGATCACATGTGTAATAGGAAGCACAAGAGATTTCCAACATACATTAGAGTTCCAATAGGAAGTTGGTGGTGACTTGATGGTGATCCTCAAGACTGTCCTCAGGTTCCATGATTTGCTAAATGTCCATATAGAACTAAAGAACATTGTTGTGTTCCTGATTACTAATTACCACAGCACAACCAATCAGATTAAAATCATCAAAAAATTACATGTACTACTTGAGGGCAGAATCTAGGAACAACTAGGTACAAGCTTCCACTTGTCCTATCCCAGATGAATTGTGTAGACAGGGCTTAATTCTCACAGAAATGATTTGTGATGATAAAGTTGCCTGAATGTCAGTTTCCAGGTTTTCTTTGGATACCTGTGTGACTTTAACTACTCAGATCTTGAGCTTTCTAGAGTACAAACTGATAACGCCATGGCCCAGGGTTGCAGGTGAACAAAACAGGCATTTAGTAGAAGTCAGATTTTAGTCTAAAGTATCTGGGGCTGGGGATTTAGCTCAGCGGCGTAAGCACCTGCCTTGCAAGCAGGCGGTCGTGAGTTCGATCCCCGGTACCGATAAAAATGAAAAAGACAAAAAAAAAAAAAAAAAAAAAGTATCTGTATGACCCAAGACCTCAAGTGTACAAAGATAGTCTTTCAGCAATATATTACAAGGACATGGGAGTTATTTCCCAGGAGCTCATTGAAGGTTGGTCCTGTCTTTGGAACGCGCAGAGCCAGAGCATCCCAGGCTTGCCAGATTAACTCTTTCCTGCACAGTGACTTTGCTCAGAGCAGCTTCAGTGATGTGGGGCAATGAAAAGCCAGTTTGGACAGGTTGGCCAGTGAATGGAAGGTAAAGAGTTTAAAGAAGCATACCGGTTCTTAGGGAGCGGTGCTTAGAGGGGGAAAGGAGAGGAGGTGAATGCTGGAGGAGAATCTGGAGTTAAGGAAGATTCTCTTTTAAGGAAAAGAGTATATTCATGTGTTGATGAAAAGGCTTGGTTCAATAAAGGAGGAAAACCTGGGTCAGGGATTTAGCTCAGTTGGCAGAAGTGCCTGCCTGGCAAGTGCAAGGTCTTAAGTTCAATCCCTGGTACCAAAAAAAAAAAAAAAAAAAAAAGAAAGAAGAAGAAAACCTGATGCTAAAGAGGAACACAATTGAAGTTATTGAGAAGGTGAGAGGATGGATCCATTGCACAAGTAGAAGTCACCTGAGGTAGAAGAGGGAACAGGTGAGGTGATGTGTTAGATGTTGGGAGGGTGAAAAAATCTTGTCTGATGTGTCATCTTTTTCATTAATGTATCAAATGTGGCCAGTACATGAAAATGAGAAGAGGGAGGAGATAAAAGTGTAAAATGTGAGGTCAACAACTTAAGTGTGAACTAACGGATTCTGGCATAGTGGCGCAAGTCTGTAGTCCTAGCTACTTACGGGACTGACCAGGAGAATTACTTGTGCCCAGGAATTCAAGACCAGCCTACGCAACATAGACCTCATCTAAAAAAACAAAGCAAAATTCATACAATAGGTCGGGTTGTAGATTTTCATTACTAATTCATAGCTATTCATTTCTAATTTAGGCTACTAATGGTTAGATTTGGTTCGGCCAGGAATGGATTTTTTCCCAGCTAAATAGGATAGAGAGATGGAGGGAAAGGTAAGAGAGCTGAAGGTATTCAAGTAGTAATAATGGATAGTAATAATGGTAGTAATAATGGATCTTGGAATTTAAATGAAGAAAAAAGGAAGTGAAGGCAGGGGAAAAGGTTATTGGATTTGAGGTCTAGAAGATTGGAGGTCTAGACAGTTATAGTGGGTATCAGAGCAAATGAACTAGTGAAATAGGAAGATCAGAGGTAACTCGTCTTGGGTAATTGGAATCATTTTGAAAGTGGGGTAGCCAGAATGATTTGGTCTATGAATGGGTGACTGACATAGGGTGGATTGTTGTTACAGCATCTGTGTCAGTGGTGGTGAACATTGCTTACATGGCACTGAGCATCTGGTAACAGCACACATAGGATCCATGCACATACTTGGAAAGGTGATGATGTTATAAGCTGGGACTCATTAGCCACAACTGTTTCAAGCTTTGGTATGGCTAGTCAGTGTGCTGACAAGGGTGTGACAAGGATATATATATATGATTGGCCTGGTTGTGAGTTTTAATACATTTTTTTTTATTAACAAGATTTTGGCTATGAGTTTTCTTATAAAAAATTGAAATTTAATATCTAAGATTTTGCAGAGAGAAGTGTTTTTATTTTAAGAAAAAAGATGTTGATGTCTGACTTGTTTTTTTCTAAACTAAAACCTCAGTATTGAAGTTTAACTGCAATGTTGGCACTTTGCGATAAATAGTGGGGTTTGAGTTGTAATTTGGACACTCATCTCTAAAAGGTGGCATCACTGATTTATGTGAGTGTTGAGATCTCTGAAAATAATGACATGAATGGGGCAGAGAGGAAGTCTGGTATTGAGACATCAGTGAATGGGATGGGTAGTGGGGTATCAATACTTGATAGATGTTACAAGGAATTTAACAGAATAGCAGTTCCATACAAGAGGAAGGTATAAGAAACAATTAGTGAGAAGCAATTTCTGACCCTGGTGCATGACAAAAAAGAGCTGGGATTTAGCTCAGTGGCACAAGTGCCTGCCTGGCAAGCACAAGGTCATGAGTTCAATTTGTTGTACCAAAAAAAAGGTTTTCACTGCTCTCAGGACTGAGTCTCTGGTCAAGGAATCGTCCAGAGAGAGATTAGATATATAAGAGACTTTGCTGACTATAATTTAGGAACACCAGATGACACAAGAGAATGTCTTGAGAGGCTAGAGAAGATGGAGAATTAGGTAGGATGTTCAGGAGAGGACTACGAGTGTAGCCTAGTGTAGAGTGCTTGCCTGTCACACAGTGTCCTGGGTTCCATTCCCAGCACTGCAAAAAAAATCAGAACAAGATAATGATAGTGGTGACAGTCCGAATGATAATCTGAGGGTAATTTGGGTTTGTAACAGGCTTAGATATGCAGATGGTAGCAATGATCCAAGTTAAAACTTTAAGGAAATGAGAGAGCATGATGGGTAGAGGATGTCTGTGATGACAGTATTTTGTAGGATCAACATCTGGACTTTCAGTCACTTCTCATTTGGCTGTAACTTCAAGTCATAGTTTAAAACTAAAGTTTCAGCTTAGGTATTCTAAAAGTGGGAAAGGCTATTATTAGATTATTAATCTCTTTGCAGTGCATGTGCTTAATAATAACAAGAAATACAAGTCAAAACAGCTTTGTATCTGTAACATATTTTGAATTATTATAGATTAAGAAAAGAAAGAGATGAAGAACGTGCTAAAAAAGTTGTACAAGAAGAGGCTGTCAAATTTCTTTGGAACCAGGTAAACCTCTTCCTGCTTATTTCACTAATACGTGGATGAAGGAAACCTTTAGATTCATTGGGATAATTCAGAGTAGTCAGGCCGATTAATCTCTTTCTCTCTGTGTCTCTGTCTCTCTCTTTGCCTCTCTCTCTCTCTGACTGAGTTTAACTGGGCCTTCCCCATGGTAGGAATGCATTGTAGCACTGGTGCAGTTTGTGTTCTTTCCTACTAACTTTCCATCAGGACAGTAAATTTTGTTACATTTTGTTTAATCTGGGGAAAAATGTTTTCATTATTTTGACAAGAAAACATAATACAAAGCCAAAGGAAAGTGGCTTGAGCGATATTAAACCCAATTGGAAGTTTTATATAGCTATTTGTATAAAGAGTATCTGAATGAAAAGGGACAAAAGAGAAGATTTAAATCCAGTAAGATTGCACTTTAGAGATAGTTTAGGCAATTGATTTTATGGATATATATTGCATAAATACTTCTTGATGATAATTCTCTTGAAAATAATTTTATAAAATAATTTGTTAATAATTTTGACCTATAAAAAGATTTGTCCTATAAAATCAAAAATTTTTTTTTTTTTTGGTGGTGGGGATCAAACTCATGACTTTGCACTTGCCAGGCAGGTGCTAATGCCACTGAGCTAAATCCCCAGCCCAAATTTTTGTTTTTAAAGTTTTGTGTGTGTAAGAGAATAGCTAAATAAAGTATGGCATAGAAATACTGTAAAACAGCTGGGCATGGTGGTGCAGTCCTGTAATCCCAGCACTCGGGACTGAGGCGGAAGGATTTTTGCACGTGTGAGACCAGCCTGGGCTACAAAGTGAGCTCAAGGCCAGCCTGAACTGCATATTGAGACTCTGTCTCAAAAAGATCAAAAAAAAAAGAAAGAAAGAAAGACTGTAAAATATTATGGAAGAGTTAAAAAAATATAGCAACAACATAGACCAACTTGAAAAAAAATCTCCAAAATAATACTTTTAGGGAACAAAAACAAGATGAAAGCTTAAAGTTCTTTTTGTTTTTAAAGGCTCTCTATGTATTTGCAAATACATAGAAAAAGGTCTGGAAGGATAAATATTAAGCTACTAGAGTGATTGCTATAGAAGATAGTCACAGAAAAACAAAAAATTCTCTGTATTGCTTTTTTTTTTTTTTTTAAGTACTGGGGATTGAATTCATGACCTTGCGCTCTATATTGCTTTCTTACGTGCAATTTTTACAGTAATTTTGACATTTACACTTTTAAAATATAAAACAGTATCAAGATCTTTGGGATCTTGGGATCTTTGTAGGCATTTTAGAAAGCTGCATATACTGTATTTTAGGTAAAAATTTTAAACTTTAACATGGATCTCTAAAGTGAGACTTAGAGGACCTGCGTGTACTAATAGGCTCTAACTGGTCTTAGTAAGTAAGATTAACTCGTCAGTGTATATCTTGTACATTTTGACCCAGTAGTAGACATGTGCTCTCAAACTTCTCATTATTCTAGCAGCTGAAAGAGAGCTGCTTTAGACCGGTCCCAGTGTCTTGGTGAGAGCCTTTTGTTAAAAAGAACAGGGGTTACTTGTGCCAATCTGATTTAGGCTAGGGGTGCTACGGAAAAAATTAGGGAGTCAGGCAGTTTCTTTTTAATTAAATTTTTATTTTTATTATTACATTTGCAGTAAATAATAATTATAGTGCTTGCAGAGAGTTAGCGTGTATGTAAAACACATCTTAATTCTTTTTTTCAGTCCTTCCCTTCTCCCTTTCTCCCCCATCTATCTCTTGGTTCTCTTTCCTTTTGCAAAAGACCTCCCAACTTCCTATTATCTATCTTTTGTTTTGCTCTTTATTTAATGTTTTTTATTTGAGAGAAACCATGAATCAGGTAGTTTTTAACTCTAGTTCTATGCTTACCAACTTCATGTCTGCTGGAAAAAAGCTTAAAGGACAGGCATGCTTTTTATCTTACAATAAAATGATATCCTCTGGCTTATAGGTAAGATCTCTACAAGCTTGGCAACAAACAGTGGACCAGCATCTAAGTTCCTGGCACACTGAGGCTCCTGTATCAAGTACTCTGGTGACTGCTGACCCTCCTTTATTCACTCAAAGTCAGGAGCCCTCTTCTGATCAGAATTCTAATTGGTTCATTGGTTATGATGAAGCTCTTGAAGAGAAAGCCTTACCAGAATTTCCAGACTCTGGTTTTCATTCCTCCTTATCAGAACAAGTTCATTGTTTGAAGGATTCCTTGGATTTTGAGAAAAGTTCCACAGAAGGCAGTGAAGGCTCCATAATGGGAAATTCCATTGACACAGTTAAATATGGCAGAGAGCCAGATGTGGGGGATGCCAGTGAAGAACACAGTGGTGAGGAGAGTAAGGAAAGCTCAGCCAACGAGCAGGATAACAATCTGCTTGAACAGTACTTAACTTCGGTTCAGCAGCTAGACGATGCTGACGAGCGGACAAATTTTGATCAAGTGACAGGAGATAGTAAGCTTTACTTAGCTTGTTCCTCAGAAAAGTTAGATACTCTGTCTGACAGGGCTTCTATAGATAAGACTCATGGCACATCTTCTGCTTCACTAGATGAAATCAGACTAACACCAGAGAATTGTAAATTAAATGAAGATGTTCAAGGGCAACAGCCAGACTGTGATTCTGCATTTGAGGTATTGCATGTTGGTGTTACTGTGTAGCATGTCTGGTTTCCAGGGGAGAAGCAGTTGACTTAAATTTTCTTAAGTTGTTTTTTGTTGCCTTTTTTTCAAAAGGGTGCAAACTGCTTTCACTTCATTACTATTTATATAAAATTTGTATTCTTAGGGCTGCGGATTTAGCTCAGTGACCTAAGCGCCTGCCTGGCAAATGCACGGTTGTAAATTTGATCCCTGTACAAAAACAAAAAACAACAATAAAAAAAACTTGTTTCTTATTTTTCAGACTACATAATCAACTTTTTAGTTATAATGTACTATTTATGTTGAAAGTTATATGTATTTTATTTCTTAACAATTGTATTAATGATTCTCAATTGTATCAACAATTGCATCAATAATGATTTATTTCTTTTAAAAAATAAACTAGAACAGTGGTAGCGAACCTATGACACGTTATTTGTTTTTCTTCAAAGACAAAAAAAAATGTTAATTTTTGAGTTGTTTTGCTAAACTAAAACCTCAGTATTCAGGTTTAACTGCAGTGTTGGCTCTCTGTGATAAATCAGTGGCTTTGGTTTGCAGTTCAGGCAGTTGTCTCTGAGAGGTTCGCCATCACTGAACTAGAATTTGTTAAAGAAAATAGAAAAATTACCTTAACTGTATAAATAGAATCTTGGTTCTTCTGATAAAATTAATTATATATTAAGGAATGCAAGTTTAAAAACAAATATAAATGAAAATATGAAGATTCTCAACTGTTGAAATTTGCCAGTCTCATTGGAGTAAGAATGCATTTTCTTAAGCCTTCCTCTGAGCCAAGGAAAGCCTTATAAGCAAATTAAGAAAGAAAAAAATGTGAGACACCTTTATAAAATTTTTCTTTTGGATGCTGAAGATTGAACCCAAAGCCATATACTTTCCCCCTAAGCTCTTTACCTAGACCCTAAATGATAGCATTCTTAGTGATCAAATTGTCTCATGAAAGATATTAGTCAATGTCATGAATCAATCTTAACATACAAAATTAGATATTCCATTTAAGATTAAAATCAAGCTCCTTGGGGGGGGCAACAAAGAACCTTTCTCTTTGATATGATAAAAGAAGATGCTAGGCTTCATTCACTTGGAATATTGCCATGGTAAGTGTTCTTACCTTATGGATAAGCAAATGTGTGTGAGTGTATTGCCAGAAATTAATATATGTTCATATTCAGTGTTTATAGTTCAATATATGTCAGCAGGTGGTTCAAGGCCATTCACCTCATTTTTGATCTCTGCCACATAAGAACATTTAAAATAATAGATTAATACCTCTATTATTGTTAAAATAATAGAGGTAGAATATGATTTTTTTAAAGAAATATTTTCTATCTAATATTTGGAAGATGTCACCCTTGAAAAACATTTTAATAGTAATTAAGAAAAAGTAAATCTCATTTTATTTCTTGGAAAGAACATATACCTATAACTTGAGAAAGAAATCTGATTGTGTTTGAATGCCATAGGAGATACAGCATTCAACAGCAATGTTTGGAAGCTTAGTATTTTAATCTTTTAGGATGTTCTAATATGGATGGATACCATATTTGATTTTCCCCTAACTATGGACATGCATCTATTTAAAACTACGGCAATGGGGCCAGGGATATAGTTCAGTGGCACAAGCACCTGTTTGGCAAGCGCAAGGTCCAGAGTTTGATTCCTGGTACCAATAAATAAATAAGTAAACAGTAACAAAAAAACCTTTGGCATTACTTAGTGTTCTCTCAGTGTCGGTGCTAAATGTTTCTTAATTATTCTGTTAAGAATCACTAGTTCTCCTTTCTTGAAATTATATAAAATAAAAACTGATCTTTCAAGATTTGAAGCTCACATGGTATACTTTAATAGTTAGACATGTTTCTCCAATATGGTCTGTTATATTTTTCTGTTTATAAATATGTAGCACTCAGGTAGAAAAGATGTGGGTTTCTTCCCCAGAAGTCCAGAATCCCTTAAAGAGGAAATGTTTTCTGTTATAAACAAAGTAGCAGTCTTACCTTCAAAAGAATTCTCCTTAGTGAAGCATGTGTGACATTACCTGCATGCTTATAAAAAGTTAAAATTTTTAATGTTTTGAATAATAATTATCTTTTGTGAGTGATTTGAATCTTTTAAATATACCCTATTTTTCTATCTTACAGTTAAGTGCCTCCTTTGCTGCCCATGGTTAGACAAAAAGAAACTAATTTGCACTAACTAATACCTAAATACTGCTTCATGGTACATTAATTTTTCAGCGAAGATGCTGAATGTCATGGTTCAGTATTGCTTAAGTAGGTTTCTGTTAACATCTTCCTCTTTTTTAAAGTAATGGCAAATACAACTAAACGCATTTGATTATCAGCATGTCAGCAGGGTTTCCTTTTTTACCTTTGGTTTGTTTTTTTAGTCCATAAATGCTTTTCAGCTTCCTTTTATTACTAGTATTTAGAAATACAAGGATAAAGTATCTTTCTTAGGGGTGGGCAGAGGATCTTGAATGTAGATAGAATGAAAGTAATATAAATTAGAATGTAAAAAAACTGAGGCATAGACTTAATATATTTTGGTGGGTTTGTAGTGTAATTTAAAAGTAATTCATGTAACTAAGATGTTTGCTTTTTTTTTTTTTTTTTGTCTTTTTCATTTTTATCGGTACTGGGGATCGAACTCACGACCGCCTGCTTGCAAGGCAGGTGCTTATGCCACTGAGCTAAATCCCCAGCCCCAAGATGTTTGCTTTTAACTCTGGGCTGTTTATTAGTTTGGCCAAAGAGAGAACTGGTCTGATAAGTTTTGGACAAATTAAGCTTTAAAGTTAAGCTTGCTTGCCTGCCTGCCTACTTTCTTTTTCTCCCTTTTCTTTATGTGAGACAGGTAGCTTTTTTTAAACTAGAGAAGTTTTGTACAGTTGAGCTATTTTAATTCACATTAGTACTTTTGATTTACAGAACAGTTATATGTATAAATATTGTATAAAATTTTCTCATGAATTGCTGAATTTGATTATATTTTATCTTCAATTTTATATAACAATAGATGTTAAAGTTTTAATTCTCTTGGCATGCAGGAAGCCTTTAATCATGACAACTTATAATATTCAATTAGCTTGATTTTATAAGTTTAATTATAAAAGCTATGCTGGGCATGGTGGCACATGCTTGTAACCCCATCATTTGGGAAGCTGAGACAGGAGAATGGTTGCAAGTTTAAGGCCAGCCTGGGTTACATTGTGAGTTCAAGGTCAGCTTAAAGCACATAGCAAGCCTCTGTTTCAAAAACAAACAAACAAAACCTTATTATAAAAGATAATCTTAATATGCATGTTTTAGGAAAATGTCTATGCAACAACATAGTTGTATTTGTATATATATAAATAATTTTATTTTTTAATAATGTAGATTCCATTCTTGAATATGTGCTTTTTCTCTATTAGTTTTGAATTATTTTAAATATACAAACACTGTAATAGTGTAGTTTCCTGTTACCTATGTAAGACAAGTCTAGTTGTATGTTTTATGAATCTTTGCAGAAATATACAAACTTTAAATATTACATTATCTCCCTGGGTACTTTTGTTTTCATGGTCCTAAAATTAGGTTTATAACATTAAAAAGGAAAAAGCTTTTTTATGGTGAATTAAAACAATAAAGCAAAAAATATAGAATGAGTCTGATCAGTGTCCCATTTATAAAGAAAAAAAGACTTCATTGTTTAATCCACATTCTTATTTCCTTACCCCTTATTAAAATTTATTTAGTGTAATGTCTTAAAACTTAAATATATGATGCTCCCATTTTGAAGTGAAGCAGAAACTAAACTACATTCTAAACTTTTTTTGTGTGTTGGTTGTGGTGTCAAGTCAGCCTTGAATTTTGGGGCTCAAGCAGTCCTCCTTAGCCTCCAGAATAACGGGAACTGTAGGCATCTACCCTTTTTTATTTTGGTGGTACTGGGGACTCAGGGAATTTACACTGAGCTACATCTCTAAACTCTTACTTATTTTTTATTTTGAGACAAGGTCTCACTAATTAGTCCAGCCTGGGTTTAAACTTGCCATCCTTTTGCCTCAGCCTCTCAGTGCTGGGATTACAGATAGGCACCACCATCCCTTGCTTGCATCTAAACATTTTTAATGATATTACTTTCACTGATTAATCATGTTGTGCCATATTAAAATTGCAACCCAGGTGAGTAAAGCAGTCCTCAGAGCTTTGGAGAAAAATGGATTTTGTTTTTAAATGAGTTGCTTTTCAATCTATGAACGAGTGGAATCACATTTTAGTTTTTATTGATTTTAGTAGCTAACAGGAATTACTCTGTAGTGACTTTATGAGTACTTTACTAATTCAAAATTTTTATTTTTTGTGGTATTGAGGTGGAACCTAGACCTTGGCTCATGCTAGGCATATGCTATACCTCTAACTTACATCCTTAGAACCATGTTTTATAATACTTTTTGTGTTGATATTAGACTTAAAATAATTTGATTTTGAACTATTTTTAGATTTTAATTTTATTGTAGAAATAGTGGTGATTAAAAGTGGTTATATTCTGTTTTGTGAAAGCTTAATATTTTATATTATAATTATTTAATTTGTATTTGAATCTAATTTTAAATAAAAGGTTTATACATTTGAATGCCTGCATCTGTTTATTTCGGTGATCAGTAGTAACGGTTATTACTTATTTTCCATTAGGGTTGTTTTCCATTAATGGATAAAGTTCAGAATAGACTGAAAATAAGACTACTAATGAAAGTTTGGAATACTATCATTATATAAATGAATTTACAAGTGAACAGTCTTGGCCTTATGAAAATGGATATGGGGCTGGGGATTTAGCTTAGTGGCATAAGCACCTGCCTGGCAAGAGCTAGGTCATGAGTTTGATCCTCAGTACCCGCCCCCCAAAAAATGGATATGGGGGCTGGGGGTTTAGCTGAGCGGCATGAGCGTCTACCTTGCAAGCACACAGTTGTGAGTTAGACCCCACAACAACAACAACAACAACAAAAAGAAAATGGATATGAAGAGAAAGGAATGCTAACTTAGTTTTATTCAGTTAGATTTCATTGTTTCTAGGATTCTCACTGAAATTGTCTGCACACAGAAGAGCAGATATCCCTCAAAGAGCACAGCTGACAGGTGCTAGTGAAGATATCAGTACTGAAAATGTTGAGTAGAAGACTTCTCATATGACCTGAGTAGTGTTAAAGTTCATGACCATACACAGTAGAAAGGATGTGAGGTTACTTGGAATTGATGTCCAATTCAAACTCTGAGAAGACACAAGGGTACTGTCCTTAATCAAGACCCTCAGTGAGAGAGTCTGATAAAGACAGTCCTGAACTGATGCTTGTGTGGCTTTTTATTGATAGAACCAAGAAGGAAGGACAAAGGACAGAAGAAGGACATCTGTGCAGACATTTGTGTAGGGGCTGGGGAAGGACAGGATGGTCTGTTACACAACTACCTTAGGGTCAATCTAAGTGATAAATGGAGTATGGAGAGGAGAGGGCCAGAGCAATCCTTAAGACATAAGCAAGCCATAGGCAAGATCATCCCTTATACACACTTGAACCTATTTTATCTACATAGGTAGTGAGTTGCTTATGTTTCTTGTGTGAAGGAAAAATCTATTCTAAAACACTTCTTCTTGCCATAATACAGCCATAGGAGAATGAGATGATAGAGTATAGCTGGTTTGGATAGAACTATACAGGTTAGTTGAGCTTGATGTATTCGTTATTCTAACCAAGCTAATTCCTTTTCCCCTTCTGGTGTAAGGTGATGAGGGCTACTAATGCTGAGTCCCCTATAAAAGTATTAAAAAGATGTTGTAGAGCATAGGTAGGAATGCCTAAAGAAGGACACCCACCAATTAACAATCCTCTAAAAGCTTCTGAAAATCATTAAGGGTATGGGGTTGATCCATACGGATAAGGATATTGACCTTTTGAGGAATAATGTATTGATTTTGAAGAACATTACCTAAATAAATAATAAGATACTCGTTTTGTATTTTTCTGTGGTTATTTGTAAACCAAACTCCATCAATAATTGTTTAGCTGCTTTAAGAATCTTTTATAAATATTCTTCTGTACTGGCTGAGAAAAGAATATCATCCATTTAATGAATAATTAATGAATTGGGGAATCTTGTTCTTACTAAAGCTAAGGGCTGACATAGTATTGGCTGAGGGTTGGACTATTTAACATTTCTTGGGGGAGTACTTTCCAGTACTTTCCAGTACTTTCCAGTATTATTTCCAAAATAATAATTGTAGTAAGATCTACAACAGTTAACTTCCAATTCTTAGATATCATGACAGGGGAGGGTAAATCAGGCTGTAATGGATCCATGGCTCAAATAACTTCATTATTTTTCTAAGGTCCCTAAGCATTCTCCATTTACCTGATTTCTTTCTAGTAACAAATATAGGGAAATTCCAGGGGCTAGTAGATTCTTCAATATGCCCTTCTGACAACTGTTCTTGTACTAATGATCTTAGAGCTTCCAATTTTTCTTTTGGAAAGGGGCTACTATTCCACCCTATTGGCTAACTTGTAATCCGTTTTAAAGGTAAAGTGAAGCCCTTTTCCTCAGTGGCCTCTATTCTAAATTTTGGAAACCCTAAACCATGTCTTTCTGTTGAGATTACCCAGGCCCATGTATGATTCTTATCAGTACATGGGTTATAATGCATACTAGCCATTATTATTTTTTGCTTGAGATGATATATGTAGGATGCTCACATAGGCTCTCCATTGCATTAATAGATCCCTACCCCATAAATTAACTGTTGGATCAGCCACTAAAGCTTCAAAATAACTATTTGTCCTTCAGGGCAGTAATTTGGAGAAACTTCACACTCTGATGAACATCTGTCATTTCCCTACCCCTGAGAAAAGCATAGGTACTTGCATTATAAACCAATGTTCAGGTCAGTGTTGTCAGAATATTATGGATACACCTACTCCCATATTTACCAATCCAATAAAACACTTTTTCTGCATTCTTCAATTGTTATTGAGGTCTTATCTTCTATATAAATGTGAGAGACAGCTCCAGTGACTCCCTTTGAATTCAAAACAATTACTGTGACTTTAATTATTTGGAGACTCATTTTCTGATATGTTAAAAAGCTGGCTAGAGTATTTTCTTTTCTTTTCAGCTGGCTCTAAGCATTGCAAATAGGCTAGCCAAGGTATAAATATGCAATCTCTATAGCCAACAGACAGCCCTGTTTCCTTGCATAGTGTTCTCCTTACAATAAAGATATGAGCTGGCTAGATGTTAGAGCAAATAGCTCCATGAATGTCAACTGGATAGGAGCCTCAAGATAAGAGGCTATGACTCCTCAGGGTACAAGAGTTTGCATGTCAGAAACCTAAGCAATAGACCCCAAAACAATTCCACTGCTACCTTAATTGGATTATATAAATTGATCCTGCTGCATATCTTTATCTCTGCAATTTACAGAGATGCCAATCTTGCACCTGACCAGCCAACTCCAGTTACTCATGTAATTCCTGCCATCCTCACCATAATTCATCCCTGAGCCACACCCTTTCTTCACAAGATAATAAATTCTGGGAGAGACCTAGGATCAAGGCCTTGTCCCTCACATCCTCATGAGGATTGGACTTAGGACCCCTTGGCTGCCCTTAACTTAGAATACGTCTTGGTGTTTTTACTCTTGCTGTGAGTTGCACTGGTGGTGTTAGATTGGAATTAATTTGCTGAGATTCCAATAACGTCTCAATAACTTTTTGGATTGTGAGGAAAACTAAAAAGAGGATTACAATACTTGGATGACTGAATTTGATATTTGGGTTTACAATATATATGTATGCCAAAAAATCTTGTTCCCTATGCTTTCAAAACCTCCTGCCTTTTCCTGGAGCAGCACAGCCCTTAATGTAAGGAAGGAGCAATAGCTGAGCTATCTGATCTCTGCCTTCTATTTGGAATGGTTGCAATGTTTGCAGCATTACTTGAATTTCATCCTTATAATCAGAATCAGTTATGCCTATTTGAACTATTATTCCTTTAGAATTTACATAGCTTTAGAAGCTATGTCTTCCCATTAACAGACTTTCGGTCCCTGACGGCAATGGCCCATAAATTCCTATTTTAACTTTTTGAACTCCTAAAGCTGTAGATAGCATAACATTTTATTTAGAGGGAATATCTAAGGTTGCTCTATCACTGGTGGCATCAAGGGAATCATTGACTGTGCTACAGCATTGTTGTAACCATTGCTGACAGGAAAGGTTTGATGATTCCCTGTATTATCTGTCATTGGGCCCCAGGATGGGCCCAACTGGAAGTTCCCTAGAGGAGTCAAAAGAGTGCTCTCCTTATGATACTTTGATCAGCACCTATTAGCCTAGTGTTTTCCTTTTTGGCATCTTGGACAGTCGTTGGAAGGTGAAGATTTGCCTGAAAGGTCAGGTTTCTGCTTGGCTTGATTCCCTGTTTTTGATTTTCCTGCCCTACATTCCTTTTTCCTATGGCTGATCTTTCCACATCCAAAACATTTACTAGTTTTTGGAGCAAATGGGCCAGTCTCTTTTAATGCAGCTGCAAGTAATTTGTCCTTAAAAGTTTCTGATTCAATATGCTAACCGGCTTTTTTATACGCTCATTTAAAGTGGTGCCTTGAGTTTTTGATGGCCTTATGATCATTTTTGCATTCTGAATTTTTTTGTCTTTTTCTTTTTTTATTGGTACCGGGGATTGAACTCATGACTGCACACTTACAAGGCAGGTGCTTATGCCACTGAGCTAAATCCCTAGCCCCTGAATTCTGAATTAACACAGTCAAAGAACAACATTTGCAATAGCAGGTCCCTCTAATCTGGTTGAAATACTGTTTTTTGGAGTACTTCTTTTAATGTAACTATAAATTCTACATAAGTTTCATTAGCACTTAGAATTATGTTGACCTCTGATGGAACTGTGTGACCAGTGAGGGCAATCTTTTCCCATGCCTTTAAACAATATATCCTTGTCTGAACAATAGCAGCATCATATTATAGCTGCTGATTTATTCCAAACTAATCCCCAGAACCAGTGAGTTGATCATCAGAAAAAGAGACTAGAGGGTTAGCATGCTTGTTGCATCAGGCAGTCAATTCTACACCTTTCCAAAAAGTTTTACATTGAAGAAATTCAAGGGAACCAAGAACCATTTGCCCAATTATTTTCCAGTCTCGGGGAATCAAACATTCAGACTGAGCCAATCCCAAAACTAACCCAAAAGTTTAAGGAGAGTTTATACCATAAGATACATAAACTTGTTTTAATTCCTTGATAGTTTTAAAAGGTAATGGATTATGTTCAAATTTAATGTAACCTTGGGGATTTTGCTGATCTCCTGACACTTGGGTAATAGTGACTGGATACATAACAAAAGCTTGACAAGCATCTAATTTACCTTGGTCATTGGCAAAGATTTTAACTGTCATGTGAGATGGATCTAGAAAAGGTCTAAATTTATCATGTATTGAGGTTGATGGTGCCACAAGATAGGCCTAGGACACTAAAGGAAGTGCTGGAGGAAAGTCAGATTCTACTGGCTTGTCAGTGGTAAGGTAGGTTTCAAAGTAGTGGAAAGGTTTCTAGAAGAATCAT